TCGTATGTTTTGTATTATGCTTAACAGAGACATCATGAATGGCGAAGAGGGGCCTTTGTTGGGAAGGGTAGCCTATAAATCAAGTAAAATTAACAATCTTTAGGTCACTGCTTCTTTTAGGAACTAAATTACAATACTGTGCCAACTACAGCAGTTTCTTAAATGCAACATCATACTAGAGAAGTATTTCATGCAGTTTTAGCTTCTCTACATAAAGTTTAGTGGCCAGAAATCAGGAGCACCATCATCACATCAGGATCATTGGCAAATACTCTGTGAAGCATGGTTCATAAAATTTGACTGGTTTTTCATTGAACCCAAAATGTCTTAAATGATTCTTAAATATATACTACACTACCAGTATTTTTCATTTTAGAGGATTTAAAGGTAGTAGATATGATTAGTTTAAGTAGCATTGAATTGCAAGTTCACTTTCCATAGAATTAAGGATCAGAGGCTGAAATTTTGGTGTCATTGATGTTGACTGCAAAATTGAGATGGACTTAATGGGATCAGAATTAACCCAGGGTCACCAGTGAAAAAGCAGTTAGCTTTGGAATAATGTTTCTCCAGTATTGGAGTAGTCCCTTAATTAAGATGAGGCCCCTATTTTGCTAGGTGTTGTACAAGGACATACATATATGCAATCTGTTGCCAGTGTTGGCCATTTTCAAGAAGCCTAGGCCAAGCTGCAGAAGCATGGCTAAAGCAGAAGCCCCCCAAATGTTTCCTAGTGATAGCAGAATGCATGGTTGCAGACAACTAGCTTGTATTTAATGTAACTTTTAGAAACTCAGTTTAATAAATGCGGCTATTTGAATTTATATATCAAGCATGAAGTGCACACATTTAATACCAAGTGATTTCTGGTGAAGAAATTGTGCACGAGAACAAAAACCATGTATTTTATCATTAGGATTAATTAGGAGATCAGCCTTCAGTATGTTTGATAGAAATGGAAAAGAGGATGAGAAGGTAATGACAGTGTGGTATGATAGTGTTGAATTGTAAATTGTAAAAAGTAAAGGAAGCAATCAACATATCTAGATAAACCAGTAATGAGATCAAATCCAGGGGTGGGCAAAATGCGGTCCGGGGGCTGGATGCAGCCCGCCAGGCCATTCTATCCGGCCTGCGGGGCCCCTAAAAAATTTAGAAAATTAATATTAATCTGTCCCTGGCTGCCTATCATGCAGCCCTTGATGGCTTGCCAAAACTCAGTAAGCGGCCCACCACCCAAAATATTGCCCACCCCTGAATTAAACAGAGCACAAGTCTGGAAAAAAGATTCTATAAAAATACCTTAAATCCAAATATATTATAACTTTATCTGAAAATGTTAGTAGTAGTGATTGATGTAACCAAATGCATTAGATGTTGTTTTGCTGTATTTTTAGTTAAGTTTCTTAAATAAGTTGTAAAAACCAAGCACCTTTGTCAGTAAAAGCCATAAACGGAGGTGAAGAAAAAACAGGATGATGGTGGCAAGCAGCATTCCATGGTGATGAAGAAGGAAATAAACTTCTCTTTTACTTTTCCAAGGATGTAAATCCCAGCTGATTGACACCTAAGTTCACAAGGGGTCTGGTTCAGTCCAATCTGAAAAGTTTCGGTGAAACAGAAATTTAAATCCAATCGGAGAATGTTTATAGAATATTAGTATCAGTCATCTATAAATACAGAGTATAAACTGCTGGATGGAAATATGAAGAACTTGGCAAATTCAAAAAGATATTCATGTTGCCCTCCTCCCCCTCTTGAGTCTCCCTAGCCAATCTGGGTAACAATCTATGTTGTCCTGTCATGGGGAACCAGATAGACTTTGGGATAGCCATTTGCTTTTGTGTTTTGAGGTATAGGCAATAAAAGGTTGAGAGGTAGACCAATCTCTTGCCTCTTTTATCAGTAGCCAACCTGCTACAATCCAGGTAACAAGTCTATGACTCCAAGAGCTTGCAAAATTAGGTGTGATAAGTGTGTTTCAGTGGGGAAAGAAATGTTAACTAAAACAATCCCCCCCCCCCCTCAATCCTTGAATTATTATATTAAAAACCATTGCAAAGGAAACCTCTTATGTTAATTGAAAAACTGAGTGCCTAGTATGCTTAATGGAAAGGGGCACTTTAAACTTGTTAATGGGCACATCTACACATGCATATTAATGAAAAGCAATAAACTCTGGTGCATATTGCGCCAGAATTTATTGTTCCCAGGTTCTGTGTTTATATATGCACCTGGGACCTCAGCACATTGAGCCAGGTTGGAGCAGTCCTGACTTACTTGGGACCTTGGGGATCAGCCTACCAGCCCAGGGCTGCTCCAGCTTGGCTCAGTGTCCTGCGGAGGGGCTGGCTGGGGCACGAGGATGCTTCAGTGCAGGGTTAGCTGGTAGCCCTTGTTTCGTAGCACCTTTCTGCCCCAGCCAGTTGGGTCAGCATCTGCATGTGTGTTGCTACGCATGGAAAAACTCTCATAAGACAGTACAAGTACTAGCCTGCTACAGAGTTTATTAGTTTCCTCTGGCCTAATAGGGCCACACATGTAGATGCCGAGACATTTACTGTGGAGCAAATTAGGCAACTCAGCAATAAATATCTCCTGTAGATGTGGTCAGTGACATCTCAAAACTTTATACTCACTACACTTAAAAGTAAGAGTTAAGGCCAGTGTAGATGGAAAGTTTGTCTCTCAGGTGGAGTGTGTGTGACATTTCAGTTATTGCACTATGATTATTTTGTGCTTGTTGGCACTAAGCTCATTTTGGCTCAGTATTGTAGAGCACTCCCAGAGGTCATGAGCACACTTCACCCGTTAAGGTCTGTGGGAGCTGAAGACGCTGTTTCTTGCAAGATCAGACCCTTTGCACTTACTGAACTTCACTGTTTCCCTGTAGAGTCATTTTTGTACCATTTTAAAAGCTTGCAAATGTTTATCTGATGTCCTGTGTATGTTTATAATTTTAAGGGTTTTTTATTTCAAAATATACCATTTAAAATGTTCCTTATTAAATTGTGACTCGATTAAAAATATTAAATTTCACTGCCAATTTGAATCATGAACCAAGGCCAATAAAAATGTATGTGAATAAAATCTTTGTTTTAATGCAACTGTGACCTCAGATTGTGCTGTGCTTTTAGGCTAAGTACAGACAGTCAAAAAGCCTGAGGCTGAATCAATTTAGTTTTCTCAGGTAGATTGAACTGATGAGGAAGTGAATAGACATTCACTTTTGATTCTGGACATGTAGCCCCATGCCTGCAGTGGCCCAGGCCAGAGGCCAGGGTGTGCTAGAGCATACCTCCCTGCTCAGTTAGATCAGACAGCTTGGGCCAAGGCTAGCCTGCCCATGCTGCTAGGGGGATTTGTGAGGAAGGTATAAAATATCCTGGGATGCTGGGGGACTGAGAGTTAATTTGAATCTGGAAGGGATTTGGAGCAGAAGTTCAGTAAACTGACTTACTGTATATCAGCTAAGTCTGATATTACATGCATCTAGGTTTATTTTACACTCATTCCAGCTATTTTGAAAGTGGTTTATGTGCACTGAACTTCTGTTGTGTTACAGATTTGAACCAGTTTCCAATCACTTATATCAGTTTCTTTTGTAATTTCTGTCCCTGGCCTTAAAGTGTAATTATAAACCCTGTTCAAGATAGAATATGTGGTGTAAAAGTTAGCCTTCAGTTTTCACCCTTTTACTTGGAATATGACTTCCATGAGCCCTTGTCTTTCAGTGACATCAATATTGGTTTGAAGACTTAAGTGTGGCAAATTCAGGTGAACAGCTCTAATGTTTGGGACAGTAAATGAAAGCAATTTAAAATATTAACCATTTGCAGTGACTTAATCTAAATATTTTCCTCTGGTTAGCTGATTATTTCTTCCTATATCCTGAAAATTTGTACTGAGTAGCCTTTTTTTTTTTTTTAATCTGTAGAAATTCCATGGCTATGCATTTGTGAGATCTGGTTACAAATTAAAGATCACGAGTTTCAGTATTTTCCATATATAAAATGCTGTAACTGTATTATGATACGAGTGGGAGGGGGTGTAGGTTTGGTCCTATTACTTCCTTTTCTCTTGTAATAAACTCTTGGGTCAGAAAACAGTCTAATTGGAAATGAACAAGTGTCTTCATGAGATAGTTCCATTACAGTTCCATAGTAAGGCAGCTTTTGAAATGGGGGTACAGAATGATGTACATGTACTCTCTACCCAGACAAAGAATTAGGATATATAAAAATTAGAAGAAATTGTTAAAGGTGTTGGTGTTAAGGTATGTATCAGCATAGTTTACCCTTGGAATAAAGGTATGCATATAACTTTGCATTACTTTTTATTAAATATTCAGAGTGCAAAATAGAACTAGGAGTAGAGGACAGGTACTATAGTCATTTAGTTTCTCTGTGCCTTTTTTCAAATCCCTGCAGCTAAGGAGTTAAAAACATCTATCTTGATAGTGAGGTTATATTGAATGATTCACACTTATAAAACAGTTGGTCATTCTCAGGAAAAGAATGGAAAAGGTGTAAGTTAGAAAATGGGAAACTTGATTTAATCATGGCTTCTGGTATTGTGTAGTTTTAAAATGCAGGATATTTGTATTGGTATTGAGCTTATTTGGGATCACGTGGTTCTAAATCATTTGTCTATCATTAAAAATATTCTAATGCTGGTCCTACTTGTAACTGAGCAACTTTGCTTAGTTATTTTGATTAAACATCAGTTAAGTTTATGTAATTTATTTCATTTTGTGAATATTTAGAAAATACATATAATAATTCTCAAATATATTCTCTATTGTAACTCTAAAAATAACTAACAAAACCAATAACAACTGAAGCTAAATGCTTTTATTCATTTTTTATTAGATTTATAACCTTTCCTATCCAAAGGGCTCAGAGTAGGTTACTGTCCAGTACTTATTAACAATGTGTGCTCTAGATGTAACCATCTTCCTAGGAAGATTTAAATATATTTTCCTCATTTCGTATGTAAAATATATCTGCTTGTCTTATATTTCTGGTATTTGCTATAAATTGATGTGATAGGTGTTTCAAGTGATAATTTCTGTGTGTGTGTGTGCATGTGTATTTTCTCAAATTCTTAATATGTTTTTCTCTAATTATTCTGTTTAGATTACTGAGTGCAGGCCTACATAGCTGCTTCCATTTTGAGATGAGGCTAGTCGTGGCAGGATGATGTCGGTAGAAAACATTAAAAGATATGAGGTTTTTTAATTTCAGTAATGATTATGAACTTGAAATATCGACTGGGGGTATTTCTCAAGATCTTTGATATCATTAATAATTTCTTGAGATACAAGTACTTTGGACCGAGATGGGGCATGAGATAATTTTCAAATAGGGCTTTATCATATAATTTGACATAGGGGTGGAACTGGACTTCACTTGCATCTAGTAGGAATCGAGTGAACTCTGTGTCTGTCTACACTTGATCTTAGCCAAAAAGCCGAGAAATAATGACTTCTTACTCAGGAAACTTTAAAAAAACCAAAACTCCGGTAAAAATAAAAATGAAAATGTGTTTTATTTTTATAAAAATAAAACTTTTTATTTTGTAAGCCATTTGTGTGATCTGATAAAATACTCCAGCCGTACTTTGGTCTTTAGATAACCTGTCATTCTTAATTGCCTTGTGTACTATTCTTACAACTGTATATTAATATTGAATTGGCTTTTTATTATTATACTGTAGTTTATCCAATGTAATATTTAAGGCTGATATCTCTATGCAAAATTACTTATTTAGTAGAATGTCTGAATTATTGGTACAGTTTTTTGTCTATATTGTTGGCATTTGGTATGAGGTGGTAAGTGTGTAACATAGGGCTCTATGGTATTTGTTTTACAAAGCTGCATTACACTTCTGGCATGTATGAGTTTTTTGTTTTTTTAAAGAGATATGTAAAGAAAGTCCGGGGCTGGGGGCGGGTGGGGGCGGGACGGGTTCTGACACACTCTCCTGTACTGGATTTAAACAAACAGCAGTGTTAAAATTGGAATGGTCTAAAATATCTTTACAAATACAAGTTTTGAGGTGCAGTTATTTCAAGATTTTAGCAGTATATTTTTTAATTGGCCATTATTTGTGGGGTTTTTTACTTAGTATTTAAATGTAACTTTTAGAAACTAAGTTTAATAAATGCTGCTATTTGAATGTATATATCAAGCACGAAGTGCACACATCTAATACCAAGTGATTTCTGGTGCACAAGAACAAAAACCATGTATTTTATCATTAGGATTAATTAGTAGATCAGCCTTCAGCATGTTTGATTGGGATGAAAAAGAGAGAATGAGAAGGTAATGGCAGTGTGGTATGATAGTGTGGAATTGTAAATGTATAGCACTATAATACAATAGGTGTATAAGGCCATAACTCAAATAAAGTTATGCAGCATTCACTTTATTATAGAAACAGAAATCTTACAGGAAAGTTTGATCTATATGAAGTGAATTTTCGGGGGGGGGTTCTTGCAGATTAGTTCCATATCTAAAATAATACAGAGAGATGGCCCTTTTCTTGGTAGACAACCTAAAGGCCAATAGTATAATAGGATGGTTACTGAACGTGGACAATCTTTCAAACGTGTCTTCCACAATCTCCCACTTGCCCCTTCACTTCTCTTAGGGCAGAGTTGAACCACAGTTGGCTCCCCCACCCACAGTTGGCTCCCCCATACTGTAGCTAGCACTGCAACTGCTATGCCAGTTCATGCAGACAAGTAGGAACTGCCAGTCTGGCACCTTTCACTGGGACTGAACTTGCTATTAAATTTTAAGAGAAATGAGTTGGACTTACTCAACTTAAACTATTAGCTATTTTTTAAAGGTTTTATTAAGTGAGGTAACATAAAAGGATGGAGAAGGAATGTTAGCAGGATGGTTGTTGAATGGAGCTGAAATTTCACTGTTTCTTTTGGAGGAAATATAGAATGTCTTTAAAAGAACTTGTAGCAACTCAGTCAGGAATACACTGATAACTCTACAACATGCTAATTGGATAGGAACAGAAGATGCCCATGCTCTTTACATTGTTATGAAAAGCTAGAATAACTGCCAGGGGAGGGCAGAACTAAAACTGAGACTTCAGCTGCTTACAATAGTACTTGAATAGTTTCATAGAAGGTAGAAGGTGGGAATTTTAGAGGGATGATTATTATTATTTGCTGATAATGCTCAAAATGTAGAATGAACATAAAAGGGTATGGTAACTGCCCCAAAAATTTACACTTCAGAAAAAGGACAAAACAGGGATGTGTAGGAGGAAAGGAGGACAAGATACAATTAAAGTGGTAATTAGTCATGTCCTGATACCAGAATGTTTTAATAACAAGGTTTGAATTTTTGTAAGGCACATGCTATTTCTAAGTACTCTGCAACCTTACCACAATCAGTCACTTAGTTTATGTAGGTACCATAGTAGAAATGAGCTTTCATGATGGGTATGAATGCAGGGAGGTTAGTGGTCACATGGCCTAGTTTAGGTAACCTCAAAACAAAGGTTGGTGGGAGAGGGACTTTTGTCCCTCATTTGTTTAGAGACAAAAGCAGATAAAGGATCTGAAAGACTGAGAGAAGAATGTTCCAATGGCTGGAATACTTTAGAGACCTGGCTTAGTTTTCAACTTTGCAACAGATTTCCTAAATAACCTTAGGTAAGCCACATACTTATAACTGAGTCACAAAGAAACTAAATAATAATAATCTTTCTGTATTTCACCAGGGTATTGTGAGAGTTAGCATGTTAAAGAGTATGAGGTCTTCAGATACTATGGGGAGGGGCCTATACAAGTACCTGTGAAAGAAGACGAGGATAACAAGTTTGAACACTTGTTGAAGAAAGGAGAATCAGTGGCAAGATTTATAATTAAATGACAGACATGGTCCAATCAGCAGGCAAATTAAAACATCTTAGACATCTTTTAGGACAAGGTGGCAGAATTTGAATATGGTTTGTGCAGATGTGTGTTTTGCTCAAGGTGCAGGAGCGGAATAATCAAAGGGATGCGGCTGATCTGAAAATTGATGTTAGTGGTCATGAAGATAATTATAATATTCATAATAATTCTTTGGATCAAATATAATGTGACCAAATTCAGACAGCTGGAAGCATGGCTGTGTATTCCAGAGATTATGAATGAAATCCCTGTTTAATGGAGAGAGAGGAAGGAAGATGTGCAACAGTAAGAGAATTGCTCTTCAGGCCACTGAATGATTGATTAGATTTCAGGCATGAGCTCCAAAAAGCTGGCTGACTTAAGTATCATAAACTCTGAGGATGCTTAGTTGGGATTCCCTGAACTTGTTTTGACTTACAGCTCCTGTTAAATTTGAATAAGATCGGCAGGTCTAATTATATAGGTCAGGGGAATCAAACCTATGGCTCATGGGAGCCCCATAATCTGGTCCCTTGGTGCTGCCCTGTTGACTCGTATGCTGTGCTGGGCCAGCCCTGTGCATGGGACCCATGAGTTGTGCTGCCCATGGCACTCACTGGGCCTCTCTCTGGGCTGCACTGCCCTCAGTGCTTACTAGAGCCAGTCCTGTGCTATGGGTGACACCTGCTCAGGCCAGCATCCCACACTGGCTCAGGCAGGTGCTACATGTGCTGGATCAGGCGTGGAGGCAGAAGGGGGGACTCCTTGACTGAGGGCAAGCGAAACTCAGGGGCATCTCAACCCCAAGTCTCCAGATTTGGGCTTGCATGTAGGATACCTGCCAAAGGATGTGGAAGTATATGAAGCCCCAGGCTGGGGTGGAGGATACTTGCCAGTAGCAGGGCCACATATGGTTCTTGAATGATTCAAATGGATTTGGACTTGATCTGGCTAATTTGACCTGGGGTACAAAAAGTTTTCCTTTAAAAAATAAAATGTGGATGGGAGGGGGTCTGTGGGCCTGATCCACCATTTGGACCAGTCCCACCCCACTCATCTAGCCTGTGGCACCAGGTGAGTTTGGCATCTCCTGATTTACGCCAATTCAGGAGTGTGGTGCAGCTTTTGCAAGGAACCCTAACATTCTTTCAAGACCTGTTGCAGATACTGAAAACAAACTCTGAAAAACCTGTATATTACTGAAATCACTTGTGTGTGTGTGTGTGTACGCATGCCTCTGAAGTAGAAAAGTTATATTCTGTATTTAGTGGAATATAAGATGAGGTTCCCTCCCCAGTCAACATGGATACAAGAAAACCTCACTAAATTATTATCTGACTTTGAACTGCTGTTAAAAACAGCATGTGCTCAGTAATGGAAACCAACTATGAAGTTGATTTAAATGTAGCAATGCTGATCATGACCGTAAAACACATGGCCCATACTACACTTGATCTGAGCCTTCAAGAGGCCGAGAAGCGACACACACACTGGAGATAGATAGCTATATCTATCTATCCATCCATCACACTCTTCTCTCTCTGTCTCGGCAGGAGCTATGTCATGATTACTACCATGGTGGAAGGTAGTGTTGATCCAGGTGCTATACCTGGAAAGGAAGATCCCCTTCTCCCTGACCTTGAATGGGTTTGTGTAGTTGAGGGTGGAGCCATGTCCAGTGTACTGCAGGCAGGCACCCCTATGAGAGTCTGTTATAGCCTCCTAATGCAGTGTTTCTCAGCCAGTGGGTCGTGACCCAAAAGTGGGTTGCAAGAATATATGAAAGGGTCATGAATAAACTTGAAGAAAAGATCAACGAACTTTAAAAATGGATTCTCCTTTAAAGGAGAAAAGCATGGGAAACTGTGGATTTTTCCTTGCAGGCTGGCAGAGGTTCCAGACTGTGAGGGGCTGCTTGGGGCCCCCATGCTTCCCCCACCCCACACGCTGGAGGCAGTGGGTCAGGAGTGAAGGGCACTGGGTCAAGACTGGCCATTGATTTTTTTTTTTTTTGCAAATGGGTCCTGATACAAAAAAGGTTGAGAACCACTGATGTAATAGGAGGATCTCAGCTACAAACTTTATTTTATAGAGATGGGGGATTGTTCCTTAGCTTGCTCCTTTAGCTCTTTGGCTAAGGCGTGGGGGGAGCAAAATATGGCCCACGGCCTATCACCTGGCTGGATCTGGCCCGTTGCTGCCCCTGGAATGCTCCACATGGGCCTGAGACCCACCTGCTCCCACCCAGGCAGCCCACATCTTCACTCTCTGTAGCCCTGGCCCCAGCCAGGGTGCAGCTTCTGGCAGAGTTGTTACCAGCA